GCAGAGCCGGGATGTGCGGCTTCGTTGCGGGAGACGGGGGAGCGAGCTTCTTCAGCGTGAGGAAGAGGGAGGCGATCGGGGGTCTTCGGCGGAAGAGAGGAGATCGCGCGAGGGGGAGGCGAGGCAGTTGAAGGTATCGGTGCAGAGGCAAGCGGCGAAGATGAATCGTACCGGAGGGGAGGAAGAAGGCGGGCTCTAGAGGAAGGCGAGAGTTTCGAGCGGGAGGGACGAAGCAGGCCAATCTGATGCTTCTCTGTGAAGACGAATCGGGAGAGAAGGAGAGCCACGGGCTTCCGTGACAGAGGGGAGATTCGGCTAGGGATTCGTCGTTGAGAGGAGAAGAAGTGCCAGCAGCCGGAAGGAGCTAGATAGAGCGTGAAAGTGAGGAGTTGAATCCAGAGTCTCGAGCATCGTCAAGGGGAAGAGTATATTAGAAATTTCAGAGAGACGTTATGCGAGACTTTGGCAGGGGATTGAATGAATTCCGTTGATGTAGCAGCTTCAAAAGGAAAAACTAAAACTCTCAATTAAAATGAGAGTAAATGACCCATTTGAAATTTAAAAATTTGAAATTCAAAATTTTCTCGAGTCCAGCTCAAATCGAATCTGAGTTGAACCTGGGTTGAGTCCGGGCCTGCGCCCTGCTATCCCTGCTATTAAAAAAAAATGTGCATCGATAGTCGTGTCATTTGTGTGCACGCGTAACCTTAACAATATACGTGTCCTTTCTGGCTAAAGTTGACGTTCTGAACGCTTCGGCGCGGTCCGTTTCGTCATCCGGGGTCGTCCGGACGAGTTCGCCGACGGGCGAGTCGATTTAAGCCAAAATCGTGTGTGATGCAGTGAGTGCGTGAAGTGCGGCGTTCGCGAGTAATCGAGTCACAAAGGGTTCACCTAAGGCTGTTGATCCTATAGGAACTCATTTTCAGGCCCTCTACATGTTGGTCCTTAGCCCTTACAACTAGAAGTTGAGTGCTTGAAACCACTCATGCGAGTTCTTCACAAAAATGAGTCAAGAAGTGGCTTGAAGTTCTACGGGAGGTGAGCTCCATTACTAGTCCACTAGAATGGTCAACAAGGAACTCCTAAGGCTAGATTATCGGTTATGGAAGTAGGAGACTAAGACCTCACTAAAAATGAGGTCAACAGTGTGCCCATGCTCTCGCTCTTTCACTCTTGGTCTTCTCTCCTCTTGGTTGATTTTTTACCTCCTTCCTGTCTTTTGGAGGACTTCTCATACAGTTCTTCTTTTAATCATATTAAGAGCGAGTAAAAGAAGATGGTCCCATTCTATGTACTTTTTCTTTGCGTCTAAACCTCGCCAAATTGTCATGTTTGCCCTAAGTGTGATGCAAATAAGACCTATGCCAACAATACTTCGAAAAAGTTTTGCAATAAAGAACCGTTTATTACATATTTTGATTGAATTAATTCTACATAGGATATGCACATACTCAAGATTTTACCTGGAATAGGATCTTGATTAGATGTTAATCACTATTTGATCACTTATTTTCATCTGCTATATAATTTTGAATGTTGCAGCTGCGCCAAAGAGAGATGCGTCGGGACCCTAGTCTACAAAAGGCAAAGGTGATACAAATTTTTTTTACATATTCTCTTCTAGTTTTGATGCAAAATGAATTGATCTAATTTTTAAATTTTATTTTTACAACTCCAATTAAGTGATGATTTCTTATGCTAATATTTATTTGGCTGATTTTAGCTGTGATTGCATGCATGAGCTTAAAGGGGAATTTGACCCCTCACTTTATATGATGCTAGAAAAGATAAATTGCAGTTTGTGCAACTTCATTTCCTACTTTTTATGTTATTGCATTTATGGCCATGGTTTATGGCACTAAGGCACGAACATACTGTAACATTTTTGAGCTGGTTCATTCTATGTACGGGGACCTTGTTCTATTTTATCTAATGGATTTCGATCTTGTCTTGTTTATGGATGTTTTTTCTCGTATGACTTGATTTTACTTTATGAAATCTCTTACTGAGCTACCCTCACAACAACAAATTAGTTTGCGTTAATTTCTTGTCAATTTAATTGAAATTTTTTTTGAAAGCCCTGAATTTTCTCACTCTGCATTTTATTTTCAGCAAAACAAAAACTTCTTAATCAAAACATAAAACCAATATTGCATAAAGATTGAAAACATAAAAATAAAATGTCTCTCCCCCTACCTATCCTCCTCCTCCTATCTACCTACCAACCCCCGCACGCGCGCGCGCGCACACACACACACACAACACCCCCCCCTCCCCTCTCTCACGCTCTCAAATAACAGGATTTCAGACATTTTAGATATATAGTCTGCCTTCTTAGTTGCCCCTATGGAAGGAGGTTCAACTTTTCCGAGGTTAGAAGATTTCTAGTTATTTATGGAAGACAATTGTGAGTCATTGGGGATTAACATCGGTTCATCGGTGTACATTCTGACAATGGATCAAACGGGATGGATGATCCGCAGTGGTGGGAATCAGCCCACAATTTTTGGGAGAAAGAATATTCTACCGTGGGATCTATGGTCTTCCCGAGAAGAAGAAAATGCCTCTTATGAGTGGTTACACGTTAAGGTGGCCCAAACTATTGGGGATGTCGTTCCAAAGTTGACCCTCTTTGATAGTTTTGTTTATCAGACACATCCAACCGAGTATGAGGAGTGGGAGAAGCATATTATATATTTACTTGTTCAGAACTTGGGTCGGGAAAACCCGCGTTGTTTTGTACCTCCGGCTAGTATTATACCAAAAGAAGTCAAATACTTGTTCTATCAAGATGTTCTTTAGAATGACGTCACCTACATAATTAGCTTAGTGGGAGCTTACAACATTACTGATTTGACTTGCGGGAGGAGGCAAAAAGTTTTTGATGAATGGGGTCGAAACTTCACCAACCCCGAGAGACTGATGAGGGGCTTGGGGGCTGAACCGGCCGCAAGCAGTTCAGCTACAGAGGGTTCGGTCTAGCAGGAGGCTGGACTGGCCCCCTCCCTCTTTTCATTGGGCGGGAATTATTTTTCCTTTCTTATTTTTGTTTCCTGCCTATTCCATCTCTATTTATATGTGTGTTTGTTAAATTAGGTTTATGTTTTTGTGAGTTGGATTTCAGCTTCTATTAGGGACAGCCGTTAGCATCCTCTCTTCTATTTTCAGGGTTGTATCAGAGGAAGAGTGACATTCTGGTTGTATCTCGCTATGAGTGGTGATTATCGTCAACTATCCTTCTTTTCAACAACCTCCCTTTCGCCGCCTCTGTCGTCGTATTTGTTGCAGCCCGCCGAGATAGCAGTTTGCTGTCTTCTGCAGCCACCAAATCTTCCCTGTTGCCGCCTAGTTGCAGCTGCCTCCCAGTTCTTCCCCTCCTTTACTGTACCGTAACCCATCTCCCCCTTTACAGCCATTCTATAACCCTCTGCTGCTACAGCCAGAGCCCTCTCCAACCCCACACCTGCTATGCCCTCCTGTCCAATCCCCACCAACAATCACCCTGACTCTTTTCCAGTACCCCACCTTTGTCTAACCATAAGCCCTTACCCACCTTCCTACTGCCGTTAGCCTCTAGCAGCAGTAATAATTGCCGGCGACCCGCTACTTTGCTGTCCCTGCTTCCGTTAGCCTTCCCAGCTCCCGTAGTTATTGCTGGCGACCCTTCCAACCCCACACCTTTGCTGTCCCTACAGTCGGAGCCCTCTCCAACCCCACACCTGCTATGCCCTCCTGTCCAATCCCCACCGACAATCACCCTGACTCTTTTCCAGTACCCCACCTTTGTCTAACCATAAGCCCTTACCCACCTTCCTAATGCCGTTAGCCTTCTAGCAGCAGTAATAATTGTGGCGACCCCCTCATTCTCTGTCCCTGCTGCTGTTAGCCTTCCCAGCTCCCGTATTTATTGTCGGCAACCCTTCCTTTGCTCTTCTTTCCATCGTTAGCTTTCGCAGCACCCACATCTATTGTCAGCGACCCTTCCAGCCATCACACCTGCTGCAGTAGCTCCCCTTCCTACCCTCTACCCTGTTGCGACAACTCTCTCGCCGCCCTCAAGCTGCTCTGCTACCTTTCCACCCAAAATCCACCTGCTGTCCTACAACCATTCGCCACCTCCGTGGTCGCACTAAAGTGTCATTTTTATGTTTGAAGAGTCGTTGTAACTTATTTGAATTTCAACATTAATATTTTTATTTTTATTATGGTTTGGGTTAATTCCAGTATCATTTGGTATCAGAGCTAACTTAATTCTAGTCATATCCTAGGGTTTTCTAGCATCCGCCATAACTCAAAAGTTTTCTTTTCTACCGCCAAATGCTCTTTCCACTACTACATATTCTTAATCCTTGTCCCCCCTTGTTGATTTTCAAACCAGCAATCTTAAACCAATTATTTTTACCCTCTTTCACCACCTAATTATAAACTCTAGCCAGCCCACTAGGGAGATACATGCCCGAGCCTGCTCGGGAGGAGATACGCCGAGAGATTCACCAACTTCAGCGGAGGCCTGTGAACTTTGATGATGAAATCCGAGGGGAGGTTACCCTTGTCTGTGATTGGGAGAGTCGAATGGGAGAACTACATAATTCGAAGATGAAGCAGGAGACATGGTACCAGTTTCTATCGGCTTACCACAGACGGAGGCACAAACTCTAGCTTTAGAAGTGGAAATGCCACATCATCGAGAGACTCCCACATTTTACAGATAGAGTTCAACCTCAGAATCTTATAGTTAGAGTATACTCAGGAGAATGCCCAATACGACCTCGACAGAGGATAAGCTGATTTAGAGTGGAGAACATGTATAACCCATCCACATTCCTAAATCTGTCTCAATCAAGTGTTGTAAGTGTTATGAATTTGGACTTGTTGAATCAGACTGCACAACTATGGGGGTGATCTGTTTCTCGGAACAAGGTATTGTGGAAATATTGGGCAATGAAAGAATTGATCCAGGAGAAGATGAAGTTTTCAGAGATGATTCTAAACATGCAACCAACAAGGAAGATACATTAATTATTCTAGTTGACCCCATGAGAGAGATTTGAGCTAACAGTTGCTGTTCTAGATGGTAGCAACTTTGATGTAAGTGGCGTTCATGCAGAGTATGAGATTGTGGTGCCTTGAGCTGTCTTTTGGCAGACGTTGAGAGGAACATCAATAGGACCGACTTTGGATGTCCAAAAGGGCCGTGAGCTTGAGGAGCTCATATTAGACACAAGTCAATTTTAGATAAATGGATTTCAGGTATTTCAAATATATAACTTACCTTCTGAGTTGTGTCTATGGAAGGAGTTTCAACTTGTTGGAGGTGAGAAGATTTTTAGTTACTTCTAGAAGACAATCGTGAGTCATTTGGGGATTAAAATTTGTTCAACGGTGCACCTCCCGACAATGGATCAGATAGGATGGATGATCCGCACTGGTGGAATTATCTCAAGATCTTTGCGAGAAAGAATATTCTACAGTGAGATCCAGGGCCTTCTCAAAAAGAAGAAAATGCCTCTCATGAGTGGTTACACGTCAAGGTGGCCCAACATACTAGAGATGTTATTCCAGACTTGACCCCCCATAATAGCCTTGTTTATCAGACACATCCAGCCAAGTACAAGGATTGGGAGAATCATATTATATATTTACTTGTTCATAATTTGGCTCGGGAAAACCTACGTTGTTGTGTACCTCCGTCTCAGATTGTGCGAAAAAGGCGGATACCTGTTCTGTCAAGATGTTCTTTAGAACAACGCCACCTACAGAATTAGCTCAGCGGGAGCTTTCAACTTGACCGATATGACTACTAGGAGGAAGCAAAAAGCTTCGTCAAATGAGGTCGAAGCTCCCTAAACCCCGGGAGACCGATGCGGGGCTTGGGGGTTGAACTTGTTCCAACCAGTTCAGCTGCAGAGGGTTTGTTCCAGCAGGAGGCTGGACCAGACCCCTCCCTTTTTTCATTGGGCGGGAATTATTCCTCTCTTCCTATTTTTATTTCTCGACCATTCCATCTCTATTTATATGTTTGTTTGCTGAATTAGGGTTATATTTTTGTGAGTTTGCTTTCAATTTTCTATCAGGGATTGCCATCGGCCTCTTATCTTCCCTTTCCAGGGTTGTATCTAAGGAAGAGTGATGCTCTGGTCATATCTCACTATGAGGTGGTGATTGTCCTCGACTTTACACCTCCTCCGCAACCTCCCTTTCGCTGCCGCTGTCGTCGTATTTTTTGCAGCCCGCCAAAGCAGCAGTTTGCTTGCTTCTGCAGCCACCAAATCTTCCTTGTTGCTGCTTAGCTGCTTCTGCCTCCCTGTTCTTCCCCTTCTTTGTTGTACCGTAGCCCATCTCCCCCTAAACAGCCATCCCGTAACCCCCAGCTGCTACAACCGTAGCCCCTCCAACCTTACACATGCTATGCCCTCCTATGCAACCCCCACCATCGATCACCCTGACCCCTTTCCATTACCCCACCTTTGTCCAGCCACAAGCCCTAGTCCACCTTCTCCCCTGTCGTTTGCCTTCCAACAGCCATAGTAATTGCCGGCAACCCACTGTTTTGCTTTCTCTGCCACCGTTAGTTTTCCCAACACCCACATCTATTGCCGGCGGCCCTTCCAGCCACCACACCTGCCGCTGCCCCCCCTTCCTACCCTCTACTCTGTAGCGGCAACTCCCTCACCGCTGCTGCAACTGCCCCTTCCGAAACCTACCCGTTGTCCCGCAGCCTTCCACCACCTCCGCCGTCGCACTAAAGTGTCCTTTTTTATGTTTATTATCATTTCTTTACTGTTTGAAGAGTTGTCGTTGTAACCTATTTGAATTTCAGTAATAATATTTCCATTTTTATTGTGGTTTGTGTTAACTCTAGTATCACCTAAAGTTCAATTTTCACTTACTATGCATGAAAAGGTTTATTTAACTTTTTAAAAGTTCAAATGGCGGTATTTTTTATGTGATATGAAAGATTTGGGTGCACAAAGTATAAGAAGTAAAGTTTAGGCGTTAGATATGTAAATACATAGGAATTGGGTGGTATGTATGTGAATTACCCTTTTATTTTTTCCGCTCCTTCTTATCATCGATGTTTGCCTTCGTTTTCTGCAGTTCCTTTCTATTTTTATCTGTAATTCTCGCCTGAAGCCACTTTTGTTGCCCCCTTTTCTCACTACTTGCTTGCTGTCTATCCTTTCTTCGCTACTAACTCTCCTACGTCAGTTGCATGTTTTTTTTTTTGGGAAATCTACATGCATACCACATAATTTTTATGTATTTACATGTCTAACACCCAAAGTTTGATATTTACAATTATAACACCTTTATGTCATAAAGCTATGCACAAAAAGGTGTATTTCTCTTATAAGAACGTAGTGATAATGGTTTTTTTCATGTGATGTTAAAGATTTGGTTGGTATGCATGTAAATATGAATGTTTAGGTGTTAGATATGTAAATACATAAGAATTATGTGGTATGTATGAAATGTCCCCTTTTTGTTTTTACTTGAGGCCTTGCCTAGGGCTGGGAATTGGTTTAACCTAAAGGTGGTTTTTTTATGGAAGCTTTCTGTTGTTGGATTTAATGAAAAATAAATACGAACTTGTACTTGAATAGATCTCAACAAAATTGAGAAATTTGTCATTTTAGATCCTTTGCGGGCTTCGCAGGATCCCTTGTGACTTGTGTTTGACAAAATTATTTGACGTTCAATACTGAAATAAAATTTCAGTTTTCTTATTTTCTTACTTATATCCTTGTTAGATATATATTTTTTGTGTGCTAAATAGGTGTGGATCACTGGTCCCAGGGGCAAGGCTCTTTGTTCTAGTGTGAGACTTGGCTCTCCCTTTGAGTGATTTATATTATTATTCTTGTTGTGTGTCGGAAGATTCGTGACAGTAGAGTGATATTTTAACGTCTTAGCGTTTCACGATGACACAACACACAGGTAATTGAAAAGTAGTAGGAGGAGACGCTGAGATTTATTACGTGGGAAAATCCTGGAAAACGAAAAAGCCACGGGGCCTAGTATAGTTAAAATAATCTACTATGTGATTGTATGTACATATGTTCTCCCTTCTCCTGAATCAGTGAATATAGAATTGTGAAGTCGATAATCACAAATGTGCAATAGTAGTTTTCGGCTATGGTAGCAATAGTTGGTCATAATGGTTGTAGTGGGAAATTACAATAATAGTAATTTGTTACAAATGTCATAATTGGTGGTTGCAATAGCATCAGTTGGTCATAGGAACTGTGGTTGGAATTTGTAGTAATTGTTGGTCGCATAGGCCTTAGTTGAGTGCTGCAATAGCGTTAGTTGGCTACAGAGACCATAACTGGAAGTTTTGGTAATAGTTTGTCATATAAGTCGTAGTTGGGGGTTGCAATAGCGCCAGTTGGTCATAAAAGCCGTAGTTGGAAGTTATCTCCGGGACTTTAATACTAGTTTTATATGTTACAGAAAGTCAGAGGTGATCGACTGTGGCCAATGGGCGATGGTCAACGTTGGTTGGCGGCTGCAGAGGTTAGAGTTAACACTGGGCCTTCTATATGATGTTATACGTTACGACCGCATTTGGTTTTATACGTCACGATCAAACCATTGAGAAATTGATAAAAATGAAAACATGGGTTGGGGTTTATTTTATCATGAATTTTGATATTTTAGCGAGCATTTGAAAAAAGAGTGTGCTAGATTCGTAAGTAGCAATGTTTCAGGTGCTATGTATGTAAACAACAAACTTTTTATTTAATTTCTAATTCCATGGGTTTTATTTGCAGTTTCTGTATGTGAAGAAAGTTGAAGTGGAGGATTACAAGATACTATGCATGGCCAGAGTAGAATTGAGAGATATGAAGCTGGATGTGATTGGAATTCTGGGTGGCTGGTGGGTTTTCCAGACATCACCTGCACACAGGTCTTGACTCAGTACGAATAATTCTCTCAACTATTCTGGACCTAAAAAGTAAATAGTTTTTACATATTCTAAAGATATAGTTTTTTTTTTACTTTATTTAGCATTCTTGCTTATGGTTCTTGTAGTTGCTGATTCCACTAGTTTTTTAGGGGGAAATTTACTTACATCCCATAGAGTTCTTATGCTTTTACATATCTAACAACTAAAGTTCGATATTTATATTTATAACACCAATGGGTGGAGCCGGCATTGTCCACCCGAGAAATAAATTAGTAAACATATGCATCAAAATGTATGTTTCACTTTTAAAAAGTTGGTGATAGTGATATTTTTGATGTGATGCCAAAGATTTGAGTGTTCTGTATATAAATATGAAAGCTTAGGTGTTAGATATGTAAATATATAAGATGTGTGTTGTATGTATGCAAATTTTTTTTTTATATTTTATTGGATATTGTTGTCTCAGATGGGAGAAAAAATTGCATACATAAGACGTACGCAGCGCTGCGTACGCCAGGTAGGTTATTCAGAAGGTATTGGGGGGGTTATATCCGTGTTATACCCTCTGTAACCTACATGTACCTTCTAGTAAGTTTCACGCTTCTGTTTTCATATATTTGTAGGTTACAGGTAGATTACAAGTATGTTACAGGTAGATTACGGGGGTATAACACGAATATAACCCCTCAATACCCTTTGAATAACGTCCCTGACGTATGCATCGCTGTGTACGTCTTACATACGCAAATTTTTCTCCTCAGATGGGCTCCATAAACATTTTCTAGCTAGCTACTTTTTATTGTATTAAATGATGGCATGTTTATAGGAAAAATTAAGTAACTATATTATACATAGATGATTGCTCCTATTTTCATGCTATACCCCACAATGGGGGAGAAATGGTGATTTATATAAATGATTATATAAGTAAATTTTATATTATTTTAATTCAATAGCTATAAAATTCTTTTTGAGAGAGAAAAAAAATACAAGTTTCAATTAATTAATTTTAAAATAAACGTGATTATATATCAAAATATTGATCTGGATATTTAATTTTTTTAATTTATATTTTTGCATTCTCATTTGTAGTTTCAATCCTCAATATAAAAAATATCACTTTTAAATTTTAAAGAATATATTGTTAGAATAATTTCCTTTCATATGACTGCTTGATATTCTTGAGCCTACCGTGACTTTAAAAATCGTGTTTCAGGCTATCGAAAATGCATTGTTGTTTTCTTCACTCGACATTTAATAAAGTAATATTTATTTTACAATTTTCTTCTTTATGAAAATATATACGATGCAGACAGTGTATGCAGAAATGCATATTTTGTCGGATTTCCACTGTCTATCAGTTATTATTTAAAAAAAAATAAAAATGGGGCCCGTCAAAATGTATGTTTGTCCTGATGAACGGTAGAGATCGGACAACGTATGCATTTCTGCATACGCTGTTCGTATGAAATAATTTTTCTTTCTTTGAATTGATGCTTAACAACTCATGGGCGATGAAATCTAATATTTTTGCTCATTATTTAGCCGCATGAAAATAATCAAAACAATATAGCATTCACTTGACACGTTGCGCGCGCAGGCATGCACACTAAATATATATGTACATAATAAGGATAAAAAAGATCTTTTTGTTATGCCTTGTGACCTGACATAGGGTCATAATCATGATTGAATGTTCCTTTAATGATTAAAAAATGAGTTTTGATTTAGATAATGAACTTCATTAAATCGGTGGTGGTTGACGGCTGCCGGCGGTGACTGACAATGGTAGTGATGATGCTAGACTTCAATTTTTTCTCAAAGTTTCAAGTTCTCTCTTAAGACTCAAGTCTCCCTTCTCATAAAAGGGGTGATGCTCTATTTATAGTGTTCCGGATGCAATTAATACAAGAATATGAACTATTTTGATCAGATGATCTTTAGAGTTTTCTTCAATTAGACGGTATTTGATGAATATTTGAATGTCTTAACTATGTTAGAATTGAGCGAGCTTGGACTTCTTTGATTCATTTTGTCGAGATACTCTATTTGATAAACTCTACATTCTACATCTTTTTGACATTTTAATTGTGTTTAGAAAACTTCAAAAAGTGATTTAATGACTTGACTGAGTTTGATTTAGTTTGTTCAGATTAATGTTGGTACTATTGGGTCCGTCTTGTTGAGTTGGTTATTTTGACTATAAATTCGTTGAATTCGGAGCATTGAATGACTTTTAATCAAAGTTGAAACATTTTTTACTCAAAAAATTACGTTGAGATTTGTCCTATCTTGAAATTTGTGCCGGGTAATGAAAATTTCTTTGAGCCGTATCACATAGATATTTTGATGAAAAAAATTATTCTTTAGATATTTATCCAAATAAAAAAATAGTATCAATACAAATTGAAAAAAAAAAGAAAGCATATATTGGATTAAATTCTTATATATTTACATATCTCTAATCTTTTTTTTTTATTTTTAATTATCTAACTTTATATATTTATTTATATAAGATCTTGTTATTTAAATCGCATTAAAGTATATATATAACTTTTATTATTAGTTATATTGAAAAATAATTTATATAAATAAACCTAAAATTTAAGGGAATTTTGCATACATAACACCCAATTCCTATGTCTTTGTACCTCAAATACTTTAACTTTAATTTTTACACCCTAAACCCTAAACCCTAAACCCTAAACTAGGACTATTAATGAGTAGAGTTTGAGCGAGCTTATGTTTGGGTAGTGAACAATGTCTTTGTGTTGTCCGACTCAAAATTAATTCTTTTAAATTAATATATATATATATATATATATAATATATAGGGTGGTGGTGAATTCAAAATTGCACCGCTTCTGTGTAGTAGAGATAGAGAGTCACATGACCGCGCGAGCTAATATGAATTAAAAAGAGATAAACATCTGTAATATATTATTATAAAAATAATATGTATGATTTTTTTTTATTTCAAGTTAAAATGAGCCGATCACGGTTGAAAAAAGAGTTGTTTGTGTTCGACTTATTTATAATTACTTCTTAAAATTTGTTTGTATTCAACTCATTACTTATCAAACGAATCATATATGAGCTACTTAATAAGTCGAGCATGAATAATTCGCGAACAATAGACTTTTTTGACAGCTCTACGTAACATATCAAAGATACCATAAAAAATATCACCCTACCTTTAAAAATGTAGAATACAACTTTTTCATACATAAGACTAAAAATTAAAATTTAGGTGTTAGATATATAAATACATAATAATTGTGTGGTATGTATGCAAGTCATTCCAAAATTAAACGCTATTGTACGGACGGCTGCTGCCAAAATTTTTAAAAAATATTATATTAGTACTACACACGTAGAAGGAACGTGCATAGCCAATGAAATCACGCCACGACACTCCGCGCGATAGGAAAAAAAAAACGACGCAGTAACACGGAGAATATTTCCCCTTGTGTTGTTCATTTGTTATTGCGTGTTATTCATGTGTTATTAATGTGTTATTATATTATTATAACATAGAATATTCTCAGGACATAATAACACATGAATAACACACAATAACACATGAATAACACAGGAAATATTACTGATAACACAAGAATAACACGAGAGAGAAGATT